TGTAATTAAGATAAAAACGGATTGATGGAACATACATTTAGGAGCAGTCTGGAAAGCTGCATTTCTGAAGCATCTTGTTTTGTCTCTTTTTTTTAATTAAAAAAAAAAAAAAGGCGTTGTTCCAGTTGATGCTGTCCTGGCAGGTATTTCTGCATCTCCGCTTACAAAGGCCCTCGCCGACAGGGCCCAGCAGTCAGTAACTGACACCAAAGCTTTAAAGCTCCCAGAATCAGGACTGGTTTAAATGTCAGAAGCTGGCCCCAGTGCTGACTTATGAGCTCAGTAACGTGGGCACAATGTCGTATTACCCCGTTCCCTGTCCCTTCAGCACGGGGTGCGGGGAGGAGGCAGGGTTAGTGCGCCCAGAGCACGGGGTGACTCTCTTCGATGAGGTGCAAAGGTGTTTTCTTGGCACCTGTTCCAGCCCTGAATGGAGCAGCACAGTGCCCTGGCTACCCCATGGTCAGACACAGGGGCTGCGCTCTCCCTGTTACCCCTTGGTGTTGGGGTGACCCCCAGGGTGTCGCCCCCAGCAGCCGATGTCTGGCACGGGGCAGAGCTCTCCATGGCATCGTGCTGCGGTCTCTTCAGGCCCAAGCCCAGTCCCTCTCCCTCCAGCCTCCCTAGAAATGATTGCCAGCAGCGAAGGGGTGTGCTGACTGGGATATCGCTTTGAATGTTAAAAGCCGGCAGAAGATCCCGGCTATCTCCCTGGCTGAGCTCTCATGTGTGGCCGTGGCTGCTATCAGGAGCCTTGCTTCCCATATCCTGCTTGCCTCTCCTGCTGTCAGCGCTCTGATTGTCCTTTCTTGCATTTTTAGATTACTACGACTTTCCCCAAGGATCCAGTCTACACTTTTTCTATTTCGCAAAATCCATTCCCCATCGAGAACCGCGATGTGCTGGGAGAAACTCAGGTAAGGAGTGATTCGACAAAGCTGGGTTTAATACAGATAGCTCGTCCATCTCCCTTGCACTTAAACAATACCCGCCAAGGGACGGCAGCAAGTTGTGCCCTTAAATCACCCCTTCGCGGTTCAGTCCGGCGCTTGCCAAACCCCTTCCTACACGGAGCAGTGTCTGCATGCCGATCGGCCGGCTGGATGCCTTGCTCCCCGCCTGCTCGGGGACAGGGACCAGGGCTCCTGGCTCTGTGCCAGGGCTGCCGCCTGGCAAGACAGCACCAAAGAGTTTGGGGGGCTCCAGCCCCACGGTGACAGCACAGGACCTGCTTCTCCCTGCGGATGGGACCAGGACTAGGGTCTGTGGCTCCGGTTCTAAGAGCATCGACTTTGCTTCCTGGACCGATTTTTTTTTCTTTTTTTTTTTTTTTTTTTAAA